ACCATCTCCGTCTTCGGGTTGATTTTCCTCAGCTGAATGAGCCTTTATATCACCGTAAACTCGTTCCATCACCACTTTGTTCTTGTGGAGAAAAGGAAAACACTACTCATTATTTTTTACTCTGCTTTATATTAAGCTCGTAGATGCGTGGCAAACAAACCTGGTTACTCGACTGGCTCAAAATTGCCATTATCGCCTGTTCGAGAGTATCACAGTCACTATAGTTGTCGAAGAAACAATGCAGCTAAAGCGCTTTTCCCTGTCGATTTATTTCTGCTAGAGACAGCTTGAGTAGTCGCAGTATGTCTCAGTGTCTGACAAGGGTCTAGCAGCATTTTCAATGCCTAAAATATGACTACGTGATTTATCCATGGCTGATGGGTGATTAAAGACCTTGACTGTAGCTAGTGCATTGTGCGTTTTTGATATATTAATGATGTCTATCAAATGCACCTAAGCTATTTATTTCGAAAAAAGCCACGACTTAGAGGTGTTTTTTCGAAGACATTAAGGCGACTCACAGTAAAGAGAGGAGAAAATGCACCTAACGTGCCTTCAAAACGCACTGTGGAAGCATTTTTAAGCCAGTCGAGTGGTTTATCAAGACACTTTTTTTTGACAGTGTATAAAGGATTATTGATATGGAAAGATTATTAGGGGCCTTAAATAAAGAATATGCGCAGATGTATTTAAATATAAAGCAACGATAAGCATATTTCAACTGGGGCAGATTTCTAATATTTCACAACGTCTTAACATGATCGTTGTGAATAGCAATCAAAAAAAGTAAAAAATATACTCGCTCGTTTGAGACGTATAGAATATTTTCTTTGTTCCTGTTATTGTATATGTTATTTTTTATCTATACTAAAACATTTATTTTACATTCGGGAAAAAGGAAGAATCTGTCAATGAAAGTCACTTGGTATTTTACCTGTTAAAGAAAAAATCTTTAAATATAAAGTGTTACGTATACACAACCATTGTTACAACATTGTGAAGTTTCAAAAATCTTTGCAGTTGCTTTGTATTTAAATACATCTGTATATATTCTTTATTTAAGTTATTTTTGCCGTTAAACAATAGTCAAGAACAATCTCTGCAACCACAACAGACGATTGTATTTACGAAACAAAAATCTTTTGAAATCAATAATACACAGATCCAATGATTTGTTCTGAAGTTGCCCGCCCATATGAAATTGGTATGTTTAGATTTATGGATATACATTGTTTCGAGACTTGACTGTTTCGTATACACACATTCTAGCTAACTTGGTTTGACTAACAGGCTCCACATATTGGATCATGATTTCTAAGGTAATCCCTGTGACGACTTATATTTCCTCCAGTTATAAGTCCTTGAGTTTATTGTATATGAGTGGTAGGATACGTATTTCTTATGCATCACTCTTTTATTCGACTACTCTTTATCAAAAACTACAGAAAACTAACTATTAAAAAAAGAATCCACGATTATAGGATATATATTATAGGATATATATAGAATCCACGATTATATATATATATTCTACCTCATGCCAAAAGATAAGAACCGTAAAAAGAAAAAGAACAACGAAACAACACAACTTCCAAAAAGAAAGAGGGAGAACAAAACAGAACACACACATGTATACGAAGATAGTCTGCTCATAGTGGAAGTTGAGGTTGTGACAAAGAATGGTCACAAAGACTTACTCTTGCATTCCACATAGTCAATACTGCTTCAAATAGGAAGACTAGGATACTGCTTATCAATATGCATCACCGAAGGGAATAAAAATGCTTTAGGTGCTATAAAGAGATTTTCACAAGAACGATCAAAAGCGAAATATGAAGTTTAGTGCAATTGCGGCTGAAACACCCTTAACTTTGTCTAACATGATTAAGAGTTTATTAATAAAAATATTTATTAAAATAAATTTATTTATTTTAATAAATATTTTTATTAATAAACTCTTAATCATGTTAGACAAAGTTAAGGGTGTTTCAGCCGCAATTGCACTAAACTTCATATTTATATTGTTGCCCTTGAATACTAATAATGTTATTCAAAAGCGAAATATTATATGTCTTCTTTAATTCCTGTCAAAACTAGTAGAAAGCCTTTTAACTGTGCAATACTCGAAGATAGTGTAAAAAATCAAATTTTTGAGTTAGCCTTGGTATTTTGTACTATTCAGTTTGCATTTTTATCTTGTCACCCTGCACGTATCTCTCTACCGGTAATTTTCTATATTAGTCCTGCTATTTTGATTTCAGATTCATCTAACCCATTCGAAACTATTCACGTGGATCAACCAACAACTAATTCAGAATCCAACAGATGAGTGATCGCGCATCCAAATTAAAACTCAAGTTACGTGGTGGATTCATTTTCCCTATGGATTTTTCAAGGAGTCACCAAAAACTAATATCTGCTGGATACGAGTTCTACACTCAGTTTTTACCTTAATTTAGCTTTTCTTTTATCCCTTTTTATGAAAATTTATATTTATTTTAAATGTCCAGTTACCACTTTCGTTGTTCCAAAATTCTTTCTCACATGAGCCACTTAATAGACTTCATCTCAGTAATATGAAATATGCTTACCGCTGCCTTATATCTAAATACATCTACACATATTCTTGATTTTTAAAGGACTCCAATAATTTTTTTATACAATTTGATGATAAAACTGCTCAAAATGCACATGATTTGTGTTAAAAGATGCGAAGATGACAAACGAACAGAAGGAAAAGTCAAAAATTGGGCTTTGTTCATCTCTTGATTTTGATTTTGCCCTTCGCAGAAAAAAAGAAATTAAGGCTCTATCTTGTATCCGTGCTGAGTTTTTTTGAATTGCTGACTCGATCAACTATACTGAGAAAAACGAAAAACAAAGTTTAAGACTAAGAAATGTCAATATGACAAGTGAACAAAAGCAAAATTTTTGCAAGCAGTTTTCCAGAGATGACTCAACTCACATCTGTGAATCTTCCTTTCACTATTGACTCTGACATTTTTGCCAGAGTACATATTTGTCTTCGTCGGTAATACGCATATTTAAGTATTCGCGGACTTTTATTGGAATATGTCATCTTTGAACAATGCAACAAACATAAAATTGTTTACTTTATAAGACAAAAAAGCTTCATTTAAGCATATCCGTTTGCTTGCTTGATTTAGCTTTTACTCCAAAAATTTCAATTTTTCAAAACCTCGAAATTTTGGGAAAACCTTTTCCATGACTACCGTTTTAATTTTAAAATCTTTTTAAGCATCAAGTTTTGTTCAGTTTTGTGCGCTCTTTCGAATGAAATCTCATTCAAAACGATCGAATCAAAACTGACGGTGTAAAACATAAAAAATCGAAATTGGTCAATGTTTCGGTTTTTTGAGCCTAGCTTTTGGGAAAACTTACCGTTCTCAACAGGAAAACGGTTTAAACGGAAAGAAAAAATTCATCGCCCCAGTTTTTCATCCTGAATCGAATGACGTAACCACCGTCGTCATGGAGTTTTCCACAAACTTCTATCCCTTCCAAACGGATGAGAAAAAAAACGAGTGTTGAGTGTTCACTTTCAGAATAGGACGGAAAAGACTATCGAAACACTTTCATCTCATCTCTAGTGTTAACGCAGTGTGTCTAGATTAGACCTAGAAATATCCAATATTATTTTTCGTTGTTGCATTTCAATGCACTAAAATTAATCGAGTATTTATCGCACGGATAGCACACTACTCTACGTTTTGTTCTCCTTCAACGTCTGAGTAGGTGAGAGAAGTGTTACGATAGCTGGTTGATATCAATCTACAACTCATTTTATACGCGCGTCTAACCTGGCATGGTCCGAGTCCAAGCTTCGGCTCGGAAAACTCGGCTCGTACTCACGGCTCGTACCCCCATTTTACTTTTCGATGCCAATACATTTTCAAGAAAACATACTGTAGCAAAGAGATATCGGTTTTACCTGATATTCCATATTGGCCCATTACTTGCCACATCATTTTCATATCAATAGACATTTGAAAATCCAATTCCAATTTTAAGTTCTTTAAATAAATTAATTTCTTTTCCATCATATTAACAAATTCATCTGGTAAAACACGATCAATTTCAGTTCTATTCTCTTTATCAAATTTAAATTGTCCTAATGGTATAACATTAGCTACTGATTGTTTATTGGCACCAGATTGCATACAGGTGATTGTTGACATAAGAAAATTAGTGGATGCACCGATCGTTGTACCATCCATATTATGCTTAATGTGCAGTACTTCATTTGATGCGTTTTCTATAACTGATGGATCACTATGAACCAGTAATTTAATTGCATCATTCACATGTAAATAAGCACCTATACAAAACAATAACAAAAATGTTAGCCATAACTATTTTACATTAAAAGTTGCTAAAAGTTAAAAACAAGGATTTTGTCACTGACATAAATCTGCGTATACATTATACTATTCACTGAATTTCTTTGATCTCATTCTTCTTTAGCTTATGTATGATATACAGCTTTAAAAATGTTAGGTACCTAAATCACATTTTTGTATTGGAATATTTTTATTTAATGTTGCTCTTAACTTTCTCAAATGATACAATGAAGGACAACAGCCATATATTGATTCTAATTGATTGAAAATTCGAATAGCTTCATCGGTGATATTATATTTATCTTTACATATCAAAAATTCTAATAATTTTGTATTTGATAAAAGTGTATAATCAGGACATTCATTAAGATCATCTTCATCATCTGTTGATTCATAATATGTCATATAATCATCACTTGTCTGAATTAATTTTGAACGATCTCGAAGATCATATCTAAAATACATGAATTTATACATTATCTGATTGCGTTAGAGATGCTGATCGAAATTTATTTCGTACTATCATGTGATTAATTCACACATATAGACTTTTTATTTTTTATAACCAATCAAAGAATGAACCGAATGCTCATATTTTTTCTTTCTGTTGACTTGTGTTTAAAGTATAATATGTAAAGAAAAATTTTATCGGCTATTCGATTCATTCTTTGATTAGCTATAAAAAATAAAAAGTATGTGTTTGAATTAATTACACGATACTACGATGGATGGTATGAGTAGAAATTCTATCCTTACCCTAATGTTACTGGATCATCAGGAGTATTAATAAGGTGTGTGTATCTCTTGCGTTTAAGTGGTTGATGAGGACTAGACTGTAGATTGCGTTTCGAAGTAACACAATCGCTGGTACCGTTCTAAGTAATATAACAATAATAAATATTTCAGACATCATTTTTAGGTGTAATTTAACACAGACTATTGGCTCTGTTTTCTTACCAAGTCAGTTGTTATTAATAAATTATGATATGATGATGGTTGAGTAGTTATATCTGGTAGTATAATGGTTTGATTATTATGATTGTTTGATTGTATATTAATTGTTGATGATTCATTATTTATAGTCTACAATAAAATCATTTATGATTTTTGTTATTTTTAAATGGGTTCTTTCTGATTTTTTGAATAGTATTTACCTTTCTCTTTTTAATACTGAAAGTAATATTTGTCTTTGCATAATGGCATAGAGCTATTTTCTGATGTTTAGCCTTAATTTTGGCTTTGCTTTTCAAAATAGAGACCTATAATCCGTTAAAAAATCAGTTATATAATGCTAGACGGTGACTAATGTAATATATCATGGAAGATTGGTGTTATAAAGTTATTTTACCTGTCTTCGAATAATTTTTGATGGATCAAATGGCTCAAATTCATCTGTATTTGGTACAAGAACTTGAAACTTTTTTATTATATCTGGTAGTATTTCTTCATCTAATAATGGATTATTTTGAATGATATCAGTTATATCAATATCGATAGTAGTAGTCATGAGACGTATAATAGTCAGATACTTCTGTGCATAGTGAATTATTTCGAATGATAGTTTATTGGAAACAGCTAAGCGTTTTTTATATTTATTTTCTACATCAACAGACAGCTGAGCTTGTGTCAGAACACATTCGACTATAACTCGATAACTCATACTATTTTGTATCGCAAAAGTTATAAACAGTTATGTATTCGATACAACTTGGGAAAATTAAATTTATAAACGATTTACAATGTATATTTAAATTTTTAGAGTATATTGTACAAAAACTCAGATTATTTTGTGTTGGGTAAATTGTAATCACTAATTTATCGAATACAATTTCTGAAAATTCTACTTATACATGAGTTATAGAACAGGCGGACTGAAAAGCAAATTCTGAAAAAGGCAAGACAGCTAAAAATATGGAAACAAATAAAAAGAGATACGTTTATTTAAGAAAATATTGTTCTAAAAGTTATTGCTTCAAACTTGTATATCTAACATAAACTTATTTATAAATGGTAAGTCAAATGTTTTTTATACTCAAAAACTTAGAATTTTATCGTTTTGACTCATTAAAAGATGATCTTTGTTCAATCATTGAGGACAGTAATCTCTAGAGTTCGTCAAACTATACATTAAGATCGGTCATCATGAGTCAGTTATTTGATTTAAGACGGTTAGTATCATCATACAACGTAACAGTATAACTAAAAACTGTTAATCATGAACTAGATCCGAAATAATAACATGATACTGAAATTTCATAATTAAATGAAGAAGATAGAAACGTCAAAATAGAACTCAATCCAATATCTTTCATTTCTAAGGTAAAAATAGAAGAAATAACTAAG